ACGGATCCTTATTATAAATGGACAGGGTTTAGGGTTTAGGGTTTGCGCGCACTCCCCTGACCTGGGCTAACTAGTTCGGATTCGAAGCGAGTCGAAACTTCGAACCAGCTTGTCCTATGCCCAAAGCCCCTGGAGCCTGAATCCCTCGAGGAAGCATAGGTACCGGTGATGGAAAACCTTCAACTAACCGCTGAAACTTAGGTCTGTAAACCCCCCAACAACCAAAGATAGACACCGGCATAATCTAGGGGCCTTAATCATCACCTATATGGGGCTCCTTATTATTGTTATTATAGTATGGTATACCCCAAAACCCTATTCTAATTATGATAAGGCCCCCAGACCCTCAGCCCTTATAGAACCCTTTAAGGAACCCTTTAAAGGAACCCCCAAACCCTCTTCTCAAACCCTATTCTAATTCCCAAGGCCCCCACATTAACCGGAAGAATAAGCCCTGAAGCTAGAACCTTCCAGCCCGAAGTACACCATCAGAGTGCTGAGCGGAAGCCGGCATCCCCCGACTCACCCTTCAGCAGTTTAGGGTTTAGGGTGTAGGGTTGAGGGTTTAGGGTTGAGGGTTTAGGGTTGTTGAGGGTTTAAAGTTTAGTTTATATTCCTATTATATTTCAAAGTATATTCCTGAACTAAGGCGGTTTTTGAGTCTCTGGGAAGGAAAATGTTCCTACTATATTTTAGAGTATATTCCTGAACTAAGGGGGGCTTTTGCGTCTCTGGGAACCCTAAACCCCTATGGATCCCTAAGGATCCCTCTTTAGGATCCCCTTTTAAGGAACCCCCAAAACCCTAAAACACTAAAAACTCAAGTCTTAAACCCTAAACCCTAAACCCTAAACCCTAAGGAAGCTGTTCGCTTCTGGACCTGGAGTGCCTCGGAGCCCTCGCCCAAGCAGTCCGAGCGTCGAGGCAGGGATAGGTTCAGTAATAACTTCGGTAGTACTAGGGTTTAGGGCCTAGGGTTTTAGCGTTTAGGGTTTTAGGGTTTAGGGTTTGGGGTTTTAGGGTTGAGGGTTTAGGGTTTAGTAGTTTTAGTAGTAGCAACAACAATAAGTGTGCTCATAGACAATAAGAGTAGTAGTAGTAGTAGTAGTAGTAGTAGTAGTAATGATGTCAGAAATGCTTCTGATATAAAGGAAATCATGAGGATTTTCGCAGCTCAACAGGGTTTATGCGAATGAGCGATGATTCGGTGATGAAAGTTTGGCTTAGAAGTGTTCTCGGGCTACTGTGGGCCATGTCTACTTGTAACTCCGAAAAGTACTGTTTATTGACTTTAACCCTACGAATAAGTACTATTCGTGAGTTGTTAGGGTATCGGCATGGGCTGGTGGCTTCTGGGTTCAGGCGTTAAGGTCTTGCTTGTGGCTTCGAGGTGTGCGACTGACGGTCCGGATGTGCTGAGCAGTGGTAGGGGAGTTTTTGTCTCCATTTACAGTAGGCTGCTGGCGAAAAGGCCTAACAGGGTTTGGGTTTAGAGTTTAAGGCTTAGGATTTAGGGTTGTTTGCAACCGAAGGTGTTCAGTTGAGAGCCTGTCAGCAAGCATCTAAGGATGACTAGCAGGTACGCTGGACCCTTAACGAAGGAGCCCTAACAGGATCCCTTTTCAGGAATCCTTATACGAACAACAGAAGAAGCATCCAATCCGCTGCCTTCCAGCTCTGATCTCGTCCCCCCCGAAACTCTCAGCAGGACCATCCTATAGGATGCCATGCTAGTATAGTATGGTATGGTATGGTACGGTATAATATAGTATAGTACAGTACACTATTTTATAGTAGAGTATAGCATAGCAGAGTATCCTTTAGGATTACTGTAGTATAGAAGCGATGTGAGGCTTCTTATAGTCTCCTGAACCCCACTCTGCGCACTGCAACTGAGTGTTGGGCTTTGGGTTCTCGGCTTGGGACAAGATGAGACGCAGGTTTAGGGTTTAGGATTTGGGGTTCAGGCTCAAAAACCCTTCAAACATGGAATGCACCGTGCGTCACATCGGGGGTCCTATCATGATTAAAGGTGCATCTATTCCTTGATTCAGCGGCATGACACCTGGAAGCATGACCAACCATGAACCCTCGCGAAAAGCTGATTTAAGAGGATCTTTGCCCCATTGGGGTAGTTCTCTAGATTAGGGTCCCCTTTTTAGGTCCCCAATATAGGACGGCACCCGTATAAAGAAAAACCTAAAACAGACCCTAAACCCTAAACCCTAAACCCTAAAACCCTAAACCCTAAACCCAAAGCCCAAAACCCTAAACCCTAAAACCCCTAAGCCCTAAACCCTAAACTACCCATTGGTTTAAAGGGATCCGAAGTCTCTTCTCCTTAAGGGCTGAGTAGGTAACCTTTAACCTTTTGGGGCTTATATACACCTACCTAAACCCTAAACCCTAAAACCCTAAACCCTAAACCCTAAAACCCCTAAAACCCCTAAAACCCCTAAAACCCTAAACCCTAAAACCAAAACCCCCTAAACCTTAAACTCGGCCCCAAAGTCTCAACGGCCCCAGGAGGCTCGGAAGGCGTTTCGCCGGCTCGGACGCTGCAGCCTGCCGGCGACCGCCTATCGCCAGCGGGCCGCGCTTAAGTTTTCGGGTTGAGGGTTTTTGGTTTTAGGGTTTAGGGGTTTTTGGTTTTAGGGTTTAGGGGTTTTAGGGCTTAGGGGCTTTAGGGTTTAGGGTTTTAGGGTTTTAGGGTTTTAGGATTTTAGGGCTTAGGGTTTTAGGGTTTAGGGTTTAGGGTTTTTGGGGTTTAAGGTTTTTAGGGTTTAGGGTTTGGGGTTAAAGAGCTTCAGAACCTAAGCCCCTGAACCTGGATATAAGAAGGCCTACCCAAAAGCTTAGTTCTCCACTACCCAACCTTTAAACTTTTTGGGCTCTTGATAGTCTGCAATCTGACAGTTGTTTTACGTGTTGTTTTCCTGACTTATTTTGGGAAGTAAGATACTCTTTGATATTCAGGTTTGGGTGCTCTTTGAGAACGCGGTACGGCTTAAAGATGTAGAGTTTTCCGGCTGTGGCGGGCTTCGAACTTTGGAGCTTAGAGGTTTAGGGTGCGTAAGCCTTGGGATCTCGGGTCTTAGAGTTGAGGGTTGAGTAAACCAGTGTGACCCTAGGCTCCATGGTAGTTCTTTTTTTGTGGTTTCTATATATATATATAGAGAGAGA